AAAAATAAATTACGAGAGTGAAAGTTTCTATGGTTTTATTATTATAACTAACACGCTTCCGCTTATTGACTTCGATTTGTCTGTTGGTAGAAATGTATTCGGGAGTCGGCTACCAGTAGGGTACAAAATAGACTAACAATAAGCTTGTCTCCCTTTCTTTGATCATGTACAGCCCTTCTGCCCTCCCCCTTGTGCAAATAGATCGAAATACTTATTTGAAAAGCAAAGTCACGGCCCAAAGAGAAAAACTAGTTTCGACAAAAATCTGAAACCGCCTTGTCAAAATTAATTACAAATAAGATTACCGACTAATTTCTAACCTGCAAAATTTTCGCACTGACAGTCATATTGAAATAAATTTTTGTTCAATTCTAATTGAAGTTTTAAAAGCAGATTAAAAGTAAATTTCAATTGAAATTCTGAAACTTTCAAAGTTGAAATTTTGCAAGTACATAATATTTACATAAAAATTGGCTGAAATTCTAAAAATTACGATTGATCATTTCGAAGTGAAGAAGACTCGTTCGATTCGATATCTGTGTTGCACTTGTCGCCTTGCTGTTATGCTAAGAGCTGGCCATCCCCAAGGGTCCTTTCCGGTTCGTTTAGCATCGCGCGAAGACAACCGTGTGTCATCGTTGTTGCCCACGCGCTAATTGAATATCGCACCCTTACACCGACTGCCATTTCATCTCGCGGCGATAGAGCTTTTAAGTAAAATTTCATTTCTATCGAACGACCCGTTCTCCCATAGAACCAGCACCAGCTTTGTTTATGATCGAAACGAATAAAACGATCGTTTCAATTAGTTAATTGGGACAGCAGCAATTCCACCAGTCGCGAAGCTTGTCCACACAATTTTGTTTGTCTCAAAACAGGATACAATTCACGGAGAGGAAAGAAAATCAGAAAAAAATGAATCTCGAGTAAATTAGTAAAAATGTACTTCTACATTTGTAATACCGAGGAAGTACAATGGTTTTATTTTCGAGAATGATGGTTATTGCTTTCAGTAGCCTGTTTACGTAATATTGAATTGCATCTGTGCCAAAATTTCGTATATTCTAGCAATTTCAGTATCAAAATTGTGTTACTATGTTTCTTTTTCAGTTACATCTTAGAAATATATCAATCACACATCATCTTCAATTAAATCAGACTAAAATCGTTGATCCAATTTCGCGGGAAAGATAAAAAAGATACTTTACACATGTCAAACCACTTATATTCCATAACCTGATTCACATACATACAATATTTCTAACCAATAAAACGTCAATCAGTAACACTCACGAACCGTCACATGACTTCACACGATCGGTAATATCGCACAAATAACACCTTTCGCTCGAAACAATCTAACCTCTCGATCTAACCAATCCAATTAACACAAAACACCAATTATTCCGGATGCAAAATCGCGTATGCAGTTACCTATTCTTTAGTTAACCAAAAAACTTAAGCGAAACGAACTCGGCTGATCCCTCTCGATCGGTAATACCTGTACGATCGAAATAAGTTAATCGTTCAATGGCCAGAGGGAGCAATTTGAAAAAAGTCGACGTGTGTAAAGGCGAAACTGCGAGGTGAACGAGTGAACAGAATCGAGTAGTCGAGTGAAGCGACGCTGGGTAGGCCATAAACAAGTGCTTACCGCAATCTAATGCGTCTGTAATTGCTCGAGCACCAGTATCTTCCCCAACGGTCCCACTTGCTCCCGCGATTTAATTACTATGTAAATGTCGCATTCCCTAAACTGTCCGTTTCCCCTCCCCGCACCCCGTCTGGCCACCCTACCCTTTTCCAGGCTGTCGCCCGATGTCCTTAATTACTTTATACGTTATTATAGCCCACCAACTACTGTCGACCGTACTCACTCCATCCGACAGCCGGTCGTTTCACTCCATTCCGTTCGGCCATATTGTTGCTGGCTTAAGCCCCAATCTCTTTACCTTCTTCCTTGGATCCTCTCTGCTTCTGATTGTCGCGTGAGAATGAAAATCGTTGCTTTAGAACTTCTTTTATGGGAAGATTCATGTGAATGTATGGAAAATGAAAATGGTGCATGATTTTTTGACGTGAATGAAATTTTTCTTTAATTTTGCTTGCATAGGTTAGGAACAAGTTTATTTTATGAAGGTTAGATATTTTTAAATGGCAGTGAACAATTCGATAAATGAAAGAAATTTTATAAACGGCAACGAAAGAATATTCTTTTTATGTTGTTCCTGTGAAATTTTTCCAAACTTCGTGAAAATGACAGATCGTGTATAAAAGAGTTTCGTAGAGTTCCTAACCTCGTTCACTTTATGCCAATAAAGGGAGAAACGTTTTTTCTTCAAGATAAAACAATTTATCTCGTTAATTCATAAAGATCGGTTTCCCCTTTATGAAAGCATTTAGCAATCTCGAACGGTACGCTTCTTAACTACATTTTGATCGCAAAGTCGTTTCGCGATATACTTTATAACATCGTAACATGGCGCGGAATTACGTATCTCATTATTCTTGTCTCGTACGCCGGCATGTAGCACTCGGCGTCATTAACTGGGGCCATTTCCGAAAAGTAAAATCTGCACGAGTTTCGTTTCCATGTATGTACATTTACGAAGAAGATTTGAAATTCATTCATTCCTCAAGTTAAAATCATTTACAAGTTATTCAATGATAAATTTTCATACGTCAAAATTAATAACAACATTTAACATAAAATAAAACGACATTATTAAAAATTAAAAATTTAAAAACCTAAATGGTACTAACCGTAACAAAAACACCATTATATCATACGAGAGGTTACGTGGTACATATGTATCACACTTTTCGTCACTGTTTTAAAGCTACGTCGATAAATGTATCGTTTCGATGGTCGATTACCGATTGATTCAACTCGTAAGATCATCTTTATCCTCGGCCCTAGTACGTCTTAGCCGGTGGACAGTACAAATGGCTTTGCTGTCCACAGGAGTCCGATAATTTGGCAGCCGAGAGGGTTGTAAGAGGGCTTTGACCAGTTTGTCAGCCACCGATGTACCTAAGAGGGTCCTCCAGCACCGCTACGTCAATTTGTCTTGCACCGCAATGGATAAACTCCCTACGATTTGTCACCGGCCGATTCTCATTGAAAATCAATCGTTCGCGAACACGCTTCGCCTATTTTGAATATTCCCGTACCCTGTGGAGATCAATACCATACTCGTTTGGAAACGCGTTCAAACGTTACGACTGCTTTATTGCCAGGGACTCGTCATGTTCGAAGTCGTAAATATTTTTTCGTGTTAATGGTGTGAAATAGTTTAAAAGTGTCGCTTGTAAATTGATTAAACGATGTTAAAGATGCAGAGTACTAATTAAAAGTGTTAAGGTATTAAAAAATTAACAGTGTGAATTGTATTAATTGTGTTATATGGAAACAATTTTTCAAACGTAGAAATTTTAGGTTAATTATCACCAAAACTCAACGCATTTATTTCTGGGCGAGAAAAAACAATACATTAATTATTTCATGAACTAAATAGAAAGTTGCACGTGCGTGTACGTTACATTTGCCACATTTTCGTATATTTATTGCTAGCCGCCTACACAACAGTGGGTGATACGCGCGTTGCAAAATACGATGCGCGTTTCGTGTACAATTTTTTAAAGTGCTCGTGTAACAAGATACGAAGCGTACAAACTACATGAATTTTCATGTGCAACGCATCAGATTTCCGTGCAATTTTATCGTTGCGACAAAGTAGAAACGAAATGCAATTAAGAATGCCTGCACAGATTGAAGATAGTTGGACACTTAATTAAATACGAATTATTAAAAAGATTAATTGTAACGCGTCTGATTAATACAAATAAGTAATTTGTAGCTGCTGCTTCAATAATATATAGTTTTACATTTTTGTTACGTTAAAAAATTTATACTGCTATTCGTTTTTGCAAGAAGTTTAACAAGCAGGTGCGATTAAATGTTTTTACCGACTGTTGTCACCATCTTACGATAAACATGTAAACTACTGCACTAAAACTGCATTATCAATGTATGGTAACTTTCTTTTATATCGAACACGTTTACACTTTAAATAAAATTTATTTATATTTCAAGATTTGATATTTTTTTAAAGTACCTTTTTATAAGAAACTAAAGTTAATATTTATAACTTACGTAATTAAGATTGTTTATATAGCACATCAATATTAGAACATCAATATGAATATAATGAGATTATAACAGAAAGACCAATAGAAAAATATTTCTTTTACGCATCAGACCTCACAAAATCTGAAACGTTAACTACTCTCATAAAATTGAATTAAAAATTTTTATCTTTGTGTTTAGTTAAAATAAATAAAAATTCTATAGCTTTTTTAACCTTTTCCACCTTTAGTTTACTTTCGTATTAAGTGAAAAGAATAAATTTGTCCAATGAAAATCTACTTCCTAGTATATCGTAGATCATTGACGACCCACGTGGCATTCGAAGAATTAACTGAAGCAGTACCGAAAACTTTATAACATACAAAATATCAAAGGTTTTCTATGCAAAGTGTGTCAGAGGGCGCCAAAGTTTAGTACAATAAACGTCACGTTACTATAATGTAGAAAAGCGGTAGTACATCGCTTAAACAGAAAATTTCTCTGACGGCCAGTGTTTATGTGCATTTGACATTTCTATTGACAAATAAACATGACATTTCATGCGATGTTTTGTATACCATCGTAAGAAGGAGTAACATCGAAATTTACAATCGTGCCTATTTCGATAACAGACCTGTCAGAGTGAAAAGGCAAACCATTTCAATTACATTAGTGGTTTCCCTGCTAATTATGCGTGCTATATGTATATTTTAAATTAAATTTATAGCTACGTAAAAATTTGGTAACCATAACGCAAGTATCCGTTTAAAACCAGTACTTTAATCACGAAATGCTTAATTTTTTTTAAGCTTTCTTTATTTTACCGTAGTTTAATGCGTTGAACGACTTTTTTTTTATATTACAGGATACCACAGAATTGCTGCATATTGAATTGAAGAACTGTAACATTAAAAACCATCAAAATGTCAGAGAAGAATCCCTTACGTTACACCAGCATAAAGGACCTATTACAAGTAGCCACAATTAAGTACAAAGGAAAAAGGCCGTCTGATGTTTATAAAAGATTACCAGAAATGTATAATCTGGCAGAGAATGCCAGATTACGAGGAGATGAGGAGGACCAGTATATTTTGTTAAGGAGATGGATGAATAGTATTGATTGGTTGAAAAGTACACCGGAATATAAAGAAGACAAGATACTCTCCTTAACAAATATGCGCGTCAATCAGGTGGGAAGTGGCGTATGCTTTATTAAACTTATCATTCTCAAATAAAGGTATTCTGAATGTAAAGTTCTGAGATGCTACTTAGATGTTAATATTGGATGTTTAACATGAACAAGTAGAATATACAATTGTTTCTTCTAGATCAATGAAGTAAAAAAAGTACTTGCAGACTTAAATCGAAGGTTAGATGTAAGGTACAATCTAAAGTTGAAAGAAAAAGTGTTGCCAAAGGGTAATGGCACAGAGAAAATGGATATAGATAATGATTCAGGACGGGACACCCATATGACTCCTGTTGATGGTCCTATAAAATTGCCAGAGACACCGACCAAAGATCCATTGGTTAATGATAATGAAGAAATTATAAACTGTGATCAGTTGTTTCATTTAATACAAAAAGTAGATAGTAGATACTTGATCATTGACATTAGGGCTAAATTAGAATTTGAAGCATCAAGAATATTATCTAACAAATCTGTTAACATTCCGAATAACAAAATAAAACCTGGGTAGGTAAATGTAATCCTTAAAACAGGTTAGGTTAGATTAATTTACCTTAAAACAGGTAAATCACATTCCACTAAAATGAATTTTCCTTAACAGCAAATCATTCATTCCAGAGCATTAACATCGCATTTTGAACAATACTTACGCAAAGACAAGAAATCTTTAGACCTATTTAGACACAGGGGATCACAATATGTAGATGTGATAATTTTACTCGATTGGGATACGTCGAGTAAAACATTGTCATCAGATAATCATTTAAACATATTGAGGAAAATTTTAGAAGATTGGGACCCTGGAATAAAGTATAAACGAATCACAATTTTGGACGGTGGTTACGCTGAATGGATAACTCGTTATCCAGCATATACCACAAATCCTAATATTGCAGTACCTGCTTCAAACAACGTTGCAAACGAAATGTTGGATAACATAGAGTATCCCGAATGGATACATATGGACGAAGAAGAGAACATTATTAAATCGCGTGGAACTAAATCCATCAACCTGAAGTCTGTAATTAAAGAGGAAACCACGTCGAAGATTAAAATCACAAACGATAAACTGTGGTACAAACATTTGGACACGGAAGAAAGTAACAACATTTCCATGCTGTCCAACAATTCCACGAGTACTTCTGTCGAAGCAAATAAGGTCTCAAAAGTTAATTCAAGTTTGCGATCATTCGATGTTGATTCGTCGAAACTTCAAGAGAAGAAAACTATGACCATCATTAAAAAGAATGATGTACTAACGAAACCGACTGTCGATAGAAGCAAGAAACCAGTTTCCTTAGACACGTCGGAATCAAAAGCAGTTTTGAAGCTAATGAGACAGCTGAATGAAATAGCAAAGAATAAACAGGAGTTGGAGCAAGAAATTTTAGAACAGGAACGCACTTTGTATATGCAACATAGTATTAAGTATAAAGGCTCGGACGATGAGGATGATATTCGTGATATCGTGAAGTCTTTGTGTACGAAATTGGAAGAGAAGGTAATATTGTATTATTACATGTGTAATACATGTGAAATTAAAAGAATATTTTTTACAGCAAACAGAGTATAAGATAATCGAAGATGAACTGACGAAGTATTATACGAAAATGGAAACCGTGAAATTCAATTCTGGTGAAGAAATTGAGTTTATGTTCAATTGAATAATAAATTATATATATTTTACCAACAGGAAGTCTACGAAAACTAGTTACAAAGAATTATCGGCGAAAGAGAACGAAAATAACATTCATAAGGAACCTCTGAAAGTTGACAGTGGTTCATCGATCGGTGGTAATTTGGAACGTTCGTACTCCAGCCCAAATTTACTGCAGGTACCATTGTCAACTTACAAAAGATAATATTTCAAAATATAGGCAATATCTAAAAAAAATCAAAAAACTGAAAATTTACTTTTATAAATTATTCAGTTAATCGATCATAAGGCACCACAAGTGGACAGAAGCTCGAAACCACAAACACCGTTGTACAATCAAAATGGAACTTATGGTGATAATAAAATGTCCCATCTCAGTTGGGCAAATCGCGAGGAACGAATGACACCTGTTCATGGAAGTGTTGTAAGTATCGAGGCAGTGTAAAAAAATGCAAAAAAAAATTAATTTATTCTTATTGATATGAATTTACACAGAACGTTTTATCGGTAATCACTGATAGCCACGTGTTTCCAGTACACGTGGCTGAATCAGAATAATACTAAATGCACAAATGTACCAAATATAATTTCAAAAAATTTACTTCAATTTAATTACGTATTCGAGATCACTGTACGAAACTGTACTAATCACTAGACTAATCTAAATGAAGAAAACAAGATAATTCAAAGTTCGCAGTAAAGAAAAGTCGCGTGACTGCGATCCCGCGTGGCAGATACGCACGTGAGCATAGAAACATTTTCAACTTGTACGGCTTCTGAATCCAATTTGCTGACAGCTTTTCGAAGCAACGCGTCGCGGATGTGTATCAGTATATGTTCGACTATCGTCATCGAACGCTACCGGGTGACGTTCTCATACACGTAATTGTAATTAAACGTTCAGCGTCGAATTAACATCGAAATTACGAATGCATTGATCAGAAAAATTGTGCTCATTGTGTTCAGTATGGTATAGACAATGTAGTGAAACACGTAGAGAGACATGTAATCGTCATGATCAAATAAAGTGTACGCAAAAGATGGTAAATTTTTCCAGAAAGTTCGTATCAGGTTTTAATGTGTATCATTTTAAAAAGGTACATTAAAATAATATTATTTTGAGAATGATTTTGCTTTTAGAAGACATATATTATATATGTACATACATATTACATAATAGGAAGTGAGAAACATTTAGGACAGTGACTCTTGTGTTACAGCATCCAGGAATTACAGGGTTAAAGAACTTGGGCAACTCGTGTTACATGAATAGTATTATACAGTGTTTAAGTAACACCACGCATCTAGCAAAGTATTTTATGGACAATTTGTACGCCGATGATCTTAACACGAATAACGATAACAATACACAAGGGCAGGTCGTAGAAGAAGTAGCGCAAGTGATTAAAGCACTCTGGAGAGGACAATATAAGAGCATATCTCCACACGATCTTAAAGTATGATTTTATAGAGAATTAACAAGAACATTATCATTTAATTTCCGATATACTAAAGCGTGTGTTATAATTGTTAGATTGCAGTAGGCCAGTACAAATTGCAGTTTGAAAGCTATGAACAACAGGACTCTCACGAATTTCTCACTTTTCTCTTAGACTGGATGCATAATGATCTAAAGAAGGTAACGTCTCACACTACCTTCACGCTAAATTTCACGCTCATAAAAACTGTATTGCTTTACTCACAGAATTGTAAAGTACCATTGGAAATGACAGTAGCTGAGAAAGCCTGGGACAAAGCCATGGGGTCACAGAGATCCATAATATCCGATCTGTTCTTTGGTCAGCTGAGATCCACCATAACGTGTAGCTTTTGCAAACAAAGCAGCACCACATACGAAATTTTCAACAGCCTGACGATGTCCTTACCTCACTCTAACCGATGCACATTAAACGTAAGCCTTTGCTCTATCCTCGTCACGAAAAGAATGTTTTTCTGTTGTGTATACATTTGACTGGTTCGCAGGATTGTATTATAAAATTCGTGAGCGGGCAAAAAGTGGTAGGCTGGAAGTGTCCCAAGTGTCAGACAGCACGCGAGGCGACGAAGAAGTTCGACTTCGTCAAATTGGCGCCAATAATAGTGATACATTTGAACCGTTTCGCTGAAAGTGGTGGATGGCTCGAGAAGAGAAACACAGCTGTTGATTTTCCTCTTACAGATTTTAATTTGAAACCGCATCTGGTGACAGATAGTAACAGTGCGACAATTTCGAATATTCGCAACTATAGTTACAGTTTGTACGCGATGTCCAATCATTACGGAACCATGGGAGGCGGACATTACACGTCGTTCTGTAAAAACGCCGCGCAAAATAAGTGAGTACCAATTTTTTTTTTACCGTTCAGCAATAACTTGACAAGGATAAAATAATAATTAGTGGAACTAATGGCGTGAAACGTGTTGTTTGTTCAGATGGTATAAATACGACGACCAAACGGTTACGGAAGTGACGATAAATCAAGTAAGGTCTCAGAATACCACTGCCTATCTGTTATTTTATACATCATTTTCGAGCAACATTATTTAGTATTAACACAAAGGGCCAAGAATGGCTGACGTATTACTTAAATAGTCATGAGTGTTCTGTGACGATGTAGATAATTGAATATTTTTTGTATGTACGTGTATGAAATATATTATTAATTATGCGGACGCCACGCATAAGATCACGACAGCATTAAGGGCTTCATTGGTGCTGGGATATACTCTAAAAAAAAATATGTAAATAAAATAACATTAAGTCGGAATTGTTATTTCGGTACCATATTGGAATTACATCGCGCAGTAGAGAGAGAGAGAGAGAGAGAGAGAGAGAGAGAGATTAGTAAAAAGCAGGAAAATGCATCGTAAGAGAAAAAAAAAAGAGGAAAATATATCTAAATATATCATGTACTGCACTCTATTCCGATTATATGTTTCGGCAATATTGTTTCACTCTTTATCTTTATATGTTGTAATATAAATAATCTTACATTCACTTTGCATTTTCTGTGCACACGAATGCAACACTCCTCCGTTTGAAATACGATAATTTTTTTATCGACAACTCATACTCATTAGCTTTGTATAAAGTTATTTATAATCATATTTTGAAAATCTTTTCTCGTGTTATCTCAAGAACAACCAGAATTATTCGAGGGAAAAATTAAACTAGGTAAAGTTTGCTGCAAAAGTGTACACGTTGCGTGAATAATTGTTGCACATTAATATTTTCTCTTAGTATTTCGCAAGTCTGTACTTACAATAATATGTATTGTAAAATTCATTAAAACACAACGACGTATTATTATTATTATCTTTATATAATGGAAGATAATTGGAGAAAAAATAAAGGTAGCAGAATATGTTAATGCTTTTGGAGCAGATGTAAGCGATCATAGTAGTACAACAGTTGTGGGACTGTTTTTATATATCACATTCAATGATTATATATGAAGAAAATATATAAATATACTTGAAATTGTGTTCAGATATTATTAATGCTTGCAAAAATCGTTATTAAAAAAGGAAGAAATTGTGTAAAATGTATCGAATATGAATGTCTCCAACAAGTGCCATCACTAGCTCGCTTATTTTGTATATAAAATAAAAATTTTCGAACTTACAAACACGATAAAGACTCATCTTTATTCGCAACACAAGTTGACGATTTCATTTCATTTCACGATTTTATTGGATAAACATTTACATTCGTTCCAACATAATCTCGATAATTTTCTTATAAACTAATTAGCGAATATAAACGTAATACAGGATAAAACATGTACTTCGTAATCAAGACAAAATTTTAAATATGGAATGTTCTTACCTATCTTGAAATCGAACTTGTACACTAATATCAATATGTTCTCCCTAGTAAAATCATACTACTTTCAATTTAAAAGAAAACGTTATTAAAATACGTATAAGCATGGCAAAGTATTGTTATCAAACATCGAGTATTCCGATGAGATCGTATAAATTAATACTAGAATTACCGATTCTCTAATTGAACATCGATTGATAACGATCGATCGTTTTTGTTCTCTAAACTTTGTCGAAAAAGCTGCGCGTGTTGCCATGCGCAATCGCCTTCTCCACCGGAAACAGACGCTGTGAGAATTAATTTTAACGATCCTTTCAATTGGTCCGTATGATAATTAGAACAATCGTTAATAGTTAAAACTACGGATTTATTTTGATTCGCATTGTCGAAGAACCCTTCCACCTCCCACGATACATTAGCGTTTTGAAATACTTTTACGGTAGCGCGTAAATCGAACGTTTTCACGCATAAATTTGAATTTGATACTACGAAATGCCATTTTACTTTACCAGAATTGCTTCCTGGTGAGCGAGCTAAGTAGACTACCATCCAATCGTACTCATTTTTACGGAACATTCCACCTTGTGCTTCGTTTACACCGTTCTGCCAACCGGATAAATACATTAATACTTTATCATCGTTATCTGTCACCGTATACGCATCATTAACGATGGAATAGTGCAAATGAAATGCGTCTCTATATTTTGAAATATCCCAAGAATAGTCCGTGGTTGCATTTGCCTGAAAAGTTTGGTTAGGAACATTTTACTGTACCGATAATGTTTTAAATATAACGTTAACTTCCCAGTTCCGTTTTTGTACCTCACAAATTTCTCCTCGTGCCAATTTCCATTCGTTGGAACCGGAGATCCGCCCTTGATAATTGCCATCATCGTCAAAGTTATATTTGTTGGGCACGTATATCAATTCCGCGAGTTCTAACAGTCTTCTTTTTATCACATACTGCCTACGGGAGGCACTATAGTTAGGAGAGGATTGGTGATATTTATTCCATGATTCGATAAACTGTAACAATTTAGTCTCAGAACAAACATCTCTTCTTTTCATCACTGCTTGTTGATCACGAGTATACCGCCAAGTAACGTCCTGTATTTCGTCCTTTGAAAAAGCTAATACGTAGGACAGTTTCTTTTTCCAACCCTTTTCATACATCAATGGCCTGTCCATGATGTCTTCACATGGATCTAGATGAATCCATCTCTTTTCATGTATGGACCATACCTAAATTATTCATATGTTATTGGCCATTTAACTAGTTTAATGTATACTGGAAATTTTTTAGAGAACAGTTAATACTCTTGCATGAACAATTTCCATACTGCAATGAGTTAATGGATACCTTTGCACATATTTTTCATTTATTATCATTACACACCTCTGTCCAAACATGATCTGTATGATCATGTATATATCTTGCATCATATCCTAGTGATCTACATAACAGTGTGAAGACATTAGCCCATTCTCCACACCGTCCACGTCTTAGAGTTAACAACGGTTCTGGGTCGGAATAACGATGGAATTTCACACGCTTTGCACATTTAGTACATCTAAAATGACATTCGACACATTTTTCATTGTTTACGAAATTTTGTTTACAACATTTTTTACGATTGTTTATGAAATAGTAGAGTTGAAATTTTTGTGTATAGCAAATTACCTGTATATTTCTACTTGAGAACACTTAGGATCATCACAAGGTACTGTCTTCAGACTTCTACATTCTGAGAAACATCTGGTACACTTTGGTTTGTCTACCCATGTGAAAAATTTATACTTAAACCAATGCAACAACTCCATGAGAAACAAGTCCCTTGCATCATCTACATCAACATCAGTGTACTGACTTTTAGTAGCTCTATCTGGACAACTCTGTTTCATTTTAATATGTCTAGAAGAAAAAGTGAACTAAATAATGGAAATAAACCTAGTCTATGAACCAAATTCTGTATAATAAATTATTACTTATGCAGTTGCCTGATCCTTGTCATAGTAGCAATCTCAAGCTCTTCAATTGGTATTACTTTTCTAGCTTTCTCCTGCAGGCTTCCATCCTCATATCTCAAAACTGTTTCGAAGAAACTTATTATTCTTGTGAAGAAGTGTCTCTCATACACTGTGGATGTCACAGGTATCAAGTTATGCAATGCTGCATTCCCAGTGACACTTGTTTTGGGAAAAGTGTTTTTGCTAAGTGAACTTTGTAGAGCTTGTAATTTAGCAAGTGGTGTTTCTTGTGGCAAAGAAAGATGTTCATCTGCCTATTGAACCAGCAAACGTGTTAGCTTGAAAAATTCATCACATAGAAAGCGATGCTTTAATTATCTAGTATAATTACCTCGACGAAACCAATATCGAACAAACATTCTATGGCTCCAAGAGCAGGGAGCAATTTTGTAATGACCATAGGATCATCGAGTCGTACTTTACGATACTGTTTGTCATTTGGATGCGACAGAATGTTCTGACAGATAGTTAACAATGCACTTTCAGCGTCGTTTCGTACTTGTTCTTCGTTCTCTTTCAACAGATCCAAAGATCGTTGTAAATCCTTATCCATGATTGAAATACGTGCACAACTAACGAGAATGACACGTGTAACGCTAAAGGAAAAATGCGATTTCGTACTTGAAACGCAAGTCACCCAGCAAACCTGTGCGTTTCAGTGTTATTAATCGTTCATCAGCGCTGTTTGTGGGTGACGAAAGAAACTACATGGAATTGATAGAATAATTCTATCTAGTAAGTACCTATGCATTTGTGTATTCTAAATTAACGGCGTATCTTATTATTTATTCAAAATCTGTTACGGTCAAATTTTCTCATGGAAGATCTTCTGTCGGTACAGTAGACAGTTTCTATGCACCAAAAAAATAGAATTTTTTATAATCATAATTACCACATGATGGTAAAGTAGCTACAGAAGATACAATATCGTCGGTGCATACTTCTTTGTCAATTGTAAGTACACAAGATTAATCTGATGATAACGTTAAACTAAAAATAATCGAAAAAAAAACAATTTTTAATTTTAATAGTTAATATATCTCTAAGTACGAAACTATAAAATGTACAAAATATTTCATTCATTTATTCGCTATTTTCATATGAAACAATTCTGGCAATATAAAACGAAGGCTTTCAAAGTTTTTCGCAGCATTGTTTCAACCATTCTCACGCGAGAATTCTTGAAGCAAACATTCCATTAGAATGCATCGTGAGACAACAATTGCCATACATAGAGGTCGTGCGTTATTCTCAAACGAAACCTGTTAGAAATACAAAAGTTCTTTTCCGTTCGAAATATAATGGCATGTCTATAAACAACGTCCGACGCTATTGTATGCTACTGATATCGTTAAGGAGCATCGTATATACGATGCCAGAGAATGGCGTTGAGATAAGAAAAGCGTATCCAGCGCGTCTCAGAATGCTCTCGAAATGTATACGATGTCTGTATGAAAACGACACCGTGCAAGAATACTGTTCGCGAGATAAAAAGCTACATCTCTATGAGCATCGCAACGAAGTCGAATCAGATTAAGGCATTCAGAATCATAGTACGACATTCTTTCTTCTGACTCCCTTTCGTTACTTTCGAATAAGAAATTTTTCTGTTCACGTAAGAAGAATAGAATTCGAGAGGTTCCACAGTGAATGCAAGACTGCGAGATTATAGTATCTTCAAAGGTTATATAGAGATTGGTCCACCCAAGACCCTAAGGATATGGGAAACCCACCTATCCAGACTTTGAGGTTATGATTCCTTCCCTGAAGCTCGAGATTAAGGAGGTGGTCCTCTTCGATCTTAAACGTATAAAGGCGATTCTCACCAAACATGTAGGTTATGGGAACGGCCCTACGAATTCCATGCCCGTGTAACCCCAAGATTTTAAGGTTATGGGAGAAAAGTTGAGATTGTATGAAGGTGAATCCTCAAATGTTGAGGTTATAGAAGCGGCTTCTTCGGATTTATAAAGTTATGGAGAAACTTCGTCAGATTCGAAACTTACAAAGATGGCTTCTTATATTTTTTAACATTGCAAGGGGAGTTCGTAAATATGAAATATGCGAAGATGACATTGTTTATTCTAAAAAATCAGTTTTATCAACTCTTTAAATCCTCACGAAGTATAATTTAACGTATAAATTGCTTTTTTTCCTTTTGCTTAAAGTGCGACAGGAGACATAATGGAAAAATTGAAGCCAGTCGATTCGGTGGGACGCAATTTATGATAAGAGCAAAGTTGCAGATTAGAAATACAATTTCAGAATGGAGCAGTCCTCGCGTTTCACTTTACCGTGCCGCATTACGGCCTGATTTTCTACAACATTACTTTCTTTCAAACTCTGGACAATCGGTCGAAAGTGGAGCACCCCTTTTGTTCCATTTTTGATTATGTACAGCTGCCAGCAACGCGTTCCTAAGGTGGCCAACTTCTCGACACTGTATATCCAAACTTTTCTTCCCGTGAGCTTAAGATTTCTCCACGTCGATTAACAAATTAACGATGCCTCAATCCAAAAACCCAACCTTAAAAAAAATTAGAAAAGTAAAATAAACGAAATAATTGTATTTTTTAAAAATTCAAAATACATATAAATATTAAATTGAAAATACGTGAAACTTTTAATTCTTCTGTTGCAAAAATTTGTTACTTTTTGTTCGATATTTCAAGGTCATCCTACTCTTAAGTAACCCTGAAATAACGCAGTACGTGAAAAATTACATTTTTCATAATTAATTCTTAAAGCATTTGCAATAATTAATTCTTCAAAAATAGGTAAGTCTTCCTATCGAAGGTAAAATTATATTTTCTGAAGAAAAACAATGCCAGATATAAACGGACATACAATGAAACGCAATTAACAATATCATTTCATTTATCCGTGATACATTTCAATTTAATAGCCGATCTATTTTCTCCGCTTAAATCGTTCAGAATACAACGTTAAATAACGTTTAAACGAGAACGTCCGGTTTTCGAAAGGCGCGCGCTTTTTTTCCTCATTTCCTTCCGGCCGAGGAAATTCCCAACGGTGGAATTATGAAATTGAATGTGCACGGGAATAAATTACTGCCGAGTTCACGCGGAAATAAACTTGATGGACAAATACGACGATGTCCGAGAGCGTCGACCGGCGCAGATGTTTGTGCAGCCGCGCAATTTTGCTGATTCCGCGGAAGTTTCGTGAGATATTTACTCTTCGAAGCGTCGCGACTCTCATAATCGAATAGAACGAGACGATTCCATTTAGCCCGGCTAGAAGTGCTCTGATAGAATGTCGCCTTGAAGAACAAATTTTCTACCTCGTTAGAAACCATTTGTGTAATGTTATTTAAAAATGAAGAATGTCGAAAATGATAGCAATTGGTTGGGGTAAATTTTTTTTAGCGAAGGAATCACTTGATAAAATTATTCTACACCGTGGAAAATTACTTTCAACAATTAATTGTTAGAAAAAAAAGAGTCCTGCATTTTGAGACAATTTCTCGACGCATAGATCGATCGAAGGTGACCGCGATCAGTTTTTATTCGCAAAAAATCACTTAAATCACTTCTACATCATGAAACATAAGTTTCAATAATTGATTGTTAAAAAAAATATGATTGTTCTTTTTGAACGTAATTTTTCGATGTATAAATCGATCTGACGATATAACGGCAATCGTTCAATATAACCACTTCTCACGAAATATCATTCCAAGTAAATTTTATTTCGGTCGAAAATGTTTTCAAACAGAATTCTCGGAAATAAAAATCCTTCTTCTTTTACGGCGAAAAATTTTCGAAGTATAGATCGAACGAACTTAACCATCTCTCGTAAAATATACGCGGAAAATATTTCCCGGGCAAACAAAAACCACCTTTACGGTTAATCATAAAGAAAACTTGTTTCTCTTTACCGTTCGAATTTTTTCGATATACAGATCGAGATCGGTCAAGGTAACCCGCGTAACGGTTCGGTTGCCACCGCCGTTAAATACGGCAAATGAAATAATGGATAAAGTTTTAACACGGTATAGAGTTCAGGAACAATATTGCTTTCAGAAAGCAATATTTCAACTGCTCGTAAAGTTGCCCGCCGACGTATCGTTAATCGGTTTCCGTTACGAGCGTGAGCGGCGGCTCGGTTTTATTGAAAAACCACGTCGAAGATTCTAAATAACATTTATAAACGCCAGGCGAAAATGCAATCCCGCGGTCGTATTAATCCCTCCCTTTAATTAAATATCATATTATCGTTGGTGATCAAGAGAAATGATTCGACCAATATTACCGTTCCCTGTTCCACCCTATCCACGGGAAATATTTATTTTATTTCACGTGCAACCTTTGTTCTTCCTTCTCGACGTTCGAATATTCTCTGGCTATATATGTGCAACATCTACTGACAGGGTGTCGTCGCTGCAAGCGTTGAGTTATACTACTAGGTGGTACGTTGATGGAATTATTAATTTTAATTACGTTATAGGAAGTGACAAATGGATAAATATGTTATTTGAAATTGTTGAAAATACGGTTCCAACGTTTTCTGGATTGTAGAAATGTTTTTAAGTCATTTGTTATAACAAGTAAATACATAGTAACGAAAAAAGGAGTAGTTAATCTTGGGCAATTAAAAAGGTGGTTTTAAGAAGATTGTATATAAAGGATTAGCTCGTTTACAGTTATTTTGTGCCTTTTCTTTTGCTGGATTTTTAGTATTGCCTGAAAATATACGTGTGCTATCTACTGACTGAGCACGGTCGCTGTAAGCGTTGGGTTACACTACTTACTGGCATCTTTATTGCTGTCAGTTACATTACCGACAGCAAAAAGACAGAAAATATATTTCATTACACAATCGAAAATATATTTCCGACATTTATGAATACGTATAACTATAAATAAACAAATGAACAATTATAAATAATAGTGTACAAGTTCGTGAAACCAATCTTCTGAAAACCTAACTTAACCTAATCTAACCTTAAAGCATTTCAATTCAAGAAATCACTGTACATGAAATTATTCCCTATTTTTATTTGTGACCCTGGAATATTGCTCTACCGACAGTGTACAGTCGACCCAAACATTGACTTGTACTACTCAACAGTAGTACATCATCACTAGCAATTACAATATTCCGCGCAAAGAAAAGACCAAGATTCAGTTTAAAAATTTTTTCTCTTATAAATTTTTCACTAAAACATGAGAAAAAGGAAACAGAAAAGAAAAAAAAAATATCGTGCATTTGAATGAGAAAAACTCCGCGGCTAATCGATCGAGGATTCTCAATAAACTCGACGCCGCCTTTGCCACGGGCCCGGTATACGCGAAGGGATCGGCGCAGCAGAAAAGAAAACAGAAGCGTGGAACGAGGCTTCTTTCTAGCGCATAATAATCCGCGGCCCCAACAATGAAGATCGATAATTCGAAAGGGTCGAGTAGCCGTGCCGCTGAAAAAGATTCGCCTCGGCTAACGGAAATTCTCGCGGCCTAGCCGGCGAAGAAAACATATCGAGATGGTACGGCCACGCTCGTATTTCAAAGGATTCCACGACAATTCAGACTC